TGCTGCAATAAACATTGGCATGCAGGTATCCTTTTGAATGAATGCTTTCATGTCCTTTAAATAAATTCCTAGGTCTTATGGAAGCTCTATTTTTAATATTGAGGAACCTCCACACAGCTTTCCATAGTGGTTGGACCAATTTGCTTTCCCACCAACAGTGTAGGAGAGTTCCTTTTTCTCCATATCCTCTCCAACATTGGTTGTTTCCTGTTTGGTTTTTTAAATATGTGCCATTCTCATTGGTGTATGGTGGTATCTCATTTTGGCTTTGGTTTGCATTTCCCTGATTACAAGTGGTGTTGAACATTTTTCCCTATATTTTGGCTATTTGCATTTCCTCTTTGAAGAAGTGTCTTTTTAGCTTCTCTGCCCATTTTTGACTGGATTTATTTACTGTCTTTGTGTTAAGTTGATTGTGTTCTTTTTAGACATTTGTTATCAGTCTGTTATCACAGTATTATGTGCAAAATGTTTTACATATCAGTAGGGTGTCTCTTTGTTTTGGTTAATGTTTCTTTTGCTGTACAGTTTTTTAATTTGATGTAGTTCCAGGTGTTCATCTTCTCCTTCATTCTCTTTTCTTTAAGGGATATGTCTTTAAAGATTCTGAGATATATGTCATGTAGTGTTGAAACATGAACTTCTTTTTGTAAAAGATGAAGAATTTTATCAATTTCAGATATTACCAAGATGTCTAGAAAGTTCAGTCTGCCAAAGTTTAAACTGGTTTTGAGCCTCAAGCAAGTGGAATTTGACCTTTATTATCCCACATTAGAATTCACATCCTATCTATGTAACCTCTTGACTAGCTATAACTCTGCTGAGTTAATTTTGACTCAAGGATTCTATTCCATCACTACAAAGGTTTGCAGCCATACTACCACATGCTAAAGTAGGCATTGACTTTTAATTCTTCCAATATTTAGAAAGAAATAGCTACAGAAGAAATCTTCATCTCCAAATTCTCTTAAGATTAAGGGATTAGAACTGTCAGTGGGGTATGACACAGCCTAAGTAAAAGAAATGGCAATCTGAGGCCTCCCTGTTGGTTCAGGGGTTAAAACCAGTGCTATCAAGCTATTGCCAGACACTGGAGCACAAGTATGACCACAAGTTGGCCAGACAGCTGACACACAAGGCACAGCGTACCTTTCCTGTCTTGCCTGCTGCTCCCCCAACAGTGTTTTCCAGCACATCTTCCTGTTCCTCCCCCGACTCTGTCTCTTGTGAATCCTCTCAACTCCCCAATATCTGTGGCCTCTATCCCAGTTATTCTATAAATAAATAAACAAATCTTTTAAAAGGCAAAAAAAAAAAAAAGAAATTGTAATCCAGTAGGTAAATTGCCCTTAATCCTGTATGAACAAGTGGACTAAATGACCGAATGCTGAGTCATGTCCCGTGAATATGGCCCACCAATTGAAAAAATGGTGGTATGCTAGACATAAAGATATAGATCCTTTCCAGTGATTATCTCACAATTTCCTGAAGAGTGAAATCTGTGCATAGCCCAACCCTAAAAAAAGCCATACTGTTCTTCTGTTCCTTCATGTCTCACAGACTTACTCTCCAAAGAGTCTCTATTGAACTTGTTTCCAGAGCCAGGTTTAATTCTTTCCTGCACTGCTTCATTATGCATGGCACTCCCTAGTATAATCTTTCCTATACTAACATCACCTAGCATTTTTAAAGGAAATTATTCATCTAGAGAGCAAAGAACCAGTACTCTATTGGGTGGCAGGCCTGTAAAAATTAAACTCTAACATTATTATATACAAAACCACAAATTTAAGTACTAACAATATTTAATTTGGATTTTCTTTTCTCTTTAGTGGGGTATAAGTGAATTTAACTTTCATTTTGGCAAAATGATAGAAAAAGTTTGATATACCTCAGTTAATTGAAGAACATGAAATTTTCATTCATCAGAAATTTCATATCTTTTATGCATGCCCTATAATGTTGAAAAGTGTTTTCCTGTATCTACTATTTCTTTGATATATTTGATTTCTCTTCAATAAACATAAAACAAAAAAGACAGCTCTCTGGATTTGTCAGAGTGAATCACTTCAAAGATGAGACAACTCATGTCAAACCTCTGCTGAAAATATTCCAGTAGCTCCCTTTCACATCAAAGGTAACACCCAAATTCAGTTCCGGGATCCCCAGACCTCTAAGCTTTTTGTTTCTCCCAGAATCCCATCAATTCTCTGAATTCACTCCCTAATATTCTATACCTTACTCACTCAGCTCCAGCATGTCAGTGTCTCAGTGTTCTCCAAACATGCCAGGCCTAGTCCTGCCTTGGAGACTCAGCACTGAATTGTCCTTTACCTACAGAGTCACAGAGTTCTCATTGCCTTCAGATCTTCTCTCAAAAGCCATGTTCTCAGTGAGACCTTTCCTGGCCTCCCTCTCTACCCCTCTATCTTGAAATTTCAATGCCCTGTTCCTTGCTTTATATTTTCCTTCTAACATCTATCACATTGAAAATGACTTAATTATAAGTATTTTATCTTGGATACTGTCTTTCTTCCACCCCCAAACTAAAGTTCTATGAAGGTTTTATTTGCTTGCTTAATTACAGCAAGTGCCTGTGCCTAGAAGACTCCCACATGAAGTAAGTACAGGTGGGACGAAGATAAAGCAAATAAATTTAAAGGCAAATGGGGTCCAAGTTAAGCCAAAAGGGAGACTAAGTAGCTTCCCCTTGGTCTAGTCCTTAGTTAAAATGCAAATGTCTCCAGGGACAAATGGGTCTTTTATTAGAGTGAGGCAGGCCAGCTGGGGACCTGGCCACAAGTTGAGAGGACATTCTGAATCTAAAATGGGCTGAGTCTCTCCTCACACCCAGCTGCTTATGTCCTTGTTGGAATGTGGGCCCTAATCCTCAGTTGCGGTGTTTTTTGTTTTTTAATTTCTTTACGAGAAACCAGAAATACAGGGCTTTTGCAATGTGACATATTCCCAAATGTCTAAGTAGCTAATTCAAAAATAAAGGACAATAAAAAAATATGAAGATCAAACAAAAATGACAGCTGGCTGAAACTGATCCATGAATAGACTGCTACACTAGCTTTGTGGATATGTGTGGAAAACCTAATTCCTACTATGATGAGGTGGGCTTGCCTGTGTAATCCTTGAGGCAAAGGCTACAGGTCATATTGGAGGAAAAGAAACAGATAGAATTACACATTATTTCGACTCCTGGAAATTTCTTTTCTCCCTCTCCTGCTGCCATGCATGCAGATAGAGAAATGGGAAACCATAAAACCTTTTCTTTAAGGGAAGAAACACGAAGTTGGGGAAACAGAACTTTTTGAAGGGAATTTCCAAGGCAGGTCTAAGGAAAAGCAAGGGGTGGGGGAGCTGCAGATACAGAGGCTTGTGTAGGGATGCCATATTTCTGGGGGACTTTATTGGAGCTACAGCAGCCTCTCTCCATCAACTGGACCTCCCTGTTTGATAGTATACAGTGGAACGAGTCGGTAATTCAAAGTCACAACTCCCAGCCCCAATACCCCATGCAATCTCACCTGGAAACAGTCATGCAAATTTCCATCACAGTTCTCCTTGTGCCTGAGGTAGGCAGGACTGGCCAATGAGGGGTCAGTAGACACCAGCTTTGTGGGGATATAAGCAGAATGGGGATTCTGAGGGCAGCCAACCTCCATTTGGTGGAGTGCTGTGTGGAGCTACCTGTGTTTTCAGGTACCTGCTAAGAACACCATGGAATGTGAAGTACTTCTCATTCCCTGGAGAGAAACATCAGGATCAATCCTCTGATGCCCCACTTCTCTGGGGAGGAAAGGTACAATCCAGATGGAGAAAGGAGCATGCTGGGGCTTCTGTACCAGTGTTTAGCAAGGTTCCATCTTTCTGAATAAAACAATTTCCAAATGCAAGTTGGCACATCTCTTAAATTATGAACACCCCACTGACCCATTGCTCACATGGACTGCCTATCCAACATAGGGAGAAGAGCACCCAAGATCTTCAGGCCCAAGATTTTCTGCACCTCAGTCCTCTGAGAAATGAGGGGAGGTCACCCAAAACCCTATGCTTATGGGACACCATTTTGTACATTGGGGTTCTGCTCTGCAGGTGTGGCAGGACTCTTTGAAATAAAAAAAAAAAATGTATTTGAGATATAAACTTGGCTCCTGGTTAGCTCTTGGGTCATCTCCATCAAATTGCCTTTCTAGGGAATCTCCAACAATTCTATGGAATTTCTGACAATTGCCACATCCTTTACACACAGAGCCAAGGAGGGCAGTGTGGATACTGCCAGAAGTCCATCTCTTTTCTGGGTTTTATCATCTTTTGTGGTTAGCAAGCTTCCACCTTTCTGAATAAAACAATTTCTAAATGCAATGTGGCACATCTTTTAAGTTCTGAACACCCCACTGACCCAGTGCTCACAAGAATTGTCTCTCTCCACACCTCCTTTATGATAGCCTTACTCTCTCTGTCAGGCTTTAAAAAAATTCTGCTCCCTCAGTGTCCCTCTCTAGTGGCCTCTCATGCCTCGACCCTCCTTTTTAGTGTCCTTTAGCCTCTCCTCAGGACCCTCTTCACTCCTCCTGTCTCCCACTTCCTCTAGACCTCTTCTAAGCTTCACTGCCCCTCTCTACTCATTTCATTCTTGTCTGTTTTCCTCTAAGCCCCAGGTTGCCCTGTTATAATTCACCCCCTCCCATTGGGTACCACCCCCTCTTAGGTCATCCCTCCCCACATGGAGCCTCTTCATTTCTGTCCCTTCTCCACTTCTTCCTAAGCAGTGATCTCTCCAACACTATCTCTATCCCATCTCTAGTTCCTTCCCCTCCTCCCTCCCTAGACCAGACCAGCTAAATCCTTTTCCATTTTTAGATGACCGATTATGATACTAGCTGAAGTTTATTCACAGCCTGAATTTACAGCTGTCCCTTCCTTTCATGCCCCATCCACCAAACACACCCAATCTTTTCAACATGACAAAGTCCTTACACACAGCATGCCATGTCCACATAAATTTGTATTTTTCAGAACAAAACAACAGTAATGCTAGCAAAGATGCTGAATTAACAAGGACCCTTAAGCTTTCAATACACTGAAAAGCAACATTATTTTGCATGTCTACAAAGTATACACTTGTTTCCACAAATGTGTCAAAGTTTGCCCTAACAGTTAGGACTTTTTCACCAAATCATAGACATAGATATGGAAATCATCATCAAATTTGATGAAATACACAGAGGGTTTGGCTTCTACTTGGTGAATGACCATGCCAATCCGTTTGGAACCATCTTCTTTGGTATATTCCACATGTTTGCCTATCAGACCATCTACAACTCCTCCTGGTTCTCTCTCTGCTGGAGGAGACTCGCTGGACTCTGGCATGATACGGAGGTCTCCTTCTTTATAATCATCTAGAAGCTGGTACATGTACAAGACAGGATCTTTCTCATAGGTAATATAAAACCAGGCTTTCATGATAGGTGCTTGGGCTAAGACCATCCCCCTCCATTCATCCTTAGAACCATGCTCACCCTCAAACATATGTTCCACAGCTTTACCAATTATGGTATTGGCCAGGCTTGCATCACTAACTTGAGATGATGCTACCCTGTCAGAAAGAATTTTAAGAGACAAAACTCTTTCATCTCTGTGAAGTTCCAGTCCATAGACACAGTCAATTCCATCATATTTCACCAGATAAAGAGAGGGATTTATAGGCACCTGATCCAGAACGGTTCCTTTCCACTGGGTGATGGGCTCATCGCCTTCCTTCCACCCGTGTGAAATTCTGCAGCCCACGATGCTCCTGCGGGGCTGAGAGGATGGTCTGCCTCTCTGCTTCTTTTGGGAGGCCCTTTTCTTCGTCATATTTGCAGATCCAGTGGCCCTTCCTGCAGATGCCCTGGTATGTTGCCCTTCAGCGTCCTGTGTGTTGGGGGTCTTCATGCCTGCAGGGGAAGGAGAGAAGACAGAGAAATGGTCAATATGCCACAAGGTGAAGTTCTCCTGACAGGGGTATCTGTGTGCTCTGTGCCGGTGCCTAATTTTTTTCTCCAGGAGCTTGGCAGCAATGCTGGAAATACTGGCTGCATGCCTGCATGCTCTCCTTCGCAGGTTGCAGGGAAGGGTGGCAGTGGCAGTGGCAGTGGCAGTGGCAGAGGCAGACATGGTGACAGAGGGGCTGACCTGGGTTAGGGACACTGCAGGGGGGGGTGGCTACCTCCTTTTTATTCAATCTACTGCCTCCACCACTCGCCACTGGTGGCCACTCTCAATCCTTTGCAAAGCGCCCATCTATGCACTGCCTTCATCAGCAAGCAGTCACTGCCCTCTTATCCTGAAAGCCCAGCCTGCTGCCCACACGCTCCTCCCCTCCCCCCTTTTCTAGCCCCAGTAGCTCTCCTGGAACCCAGCGCCCTTGCTTCCTTATGCTCACCTGCAATTTCATGCCTGTCTCTTATGGCCACCTCCTTTATTCATTGCCTACTACTCTCCCCGCTCCCTCCCCCCCCCCCTTTATCTCCTGCAGGAGTCCATCCCATCACCCGTCTCCATCCTGGCGCGCACCAATGGCCTTGCCCTGCCTGGCGTCCACTGCCCCGGGGATTTCGGGATTCAAGTGCCCAAATTGGACACCTCCCTGCTGCCTCCGCGGTGAGCTTGTGTTGGACGAAGAGCAGCAGGCGACGAGCCGGGTGCTAGCAAGTGCTGGGAGTGGAGAGTCGTTATTTAGGGAGAGCTTCTAGGAAGGCGGTGGTGGGGGGGCAGGCAAAGAGGATTGCTGTGGTGTCCCCAGCGGTTCGCTAGTGGGCCCTCTGACTCCCAGCTAGTGGTGATGGCCCCTTTGACACATAAGGTTACCACTAGCCGCAGCTGCCGCCGCCGCCGCCGCCGCCGCCGCCGCCGCCGCCGCCGCCGCCGCCGCCGCCGCCGCCGCCGCCGCCGCCGCCGTCGCCGCAGTCTCCTCCCTCTTGTCGTAGTGCAGCTTCCTGCCTGGAGAGAGGCCTCCTCTTCCTGCCCAGCACTGCGTGCCTCCCCCCATCCCAATTTATGGACCCCCACAGGATCTGGGGTTTGCTCTTTAGTTTACTTCCCATCCATGCTATCTTGTACCTCAAGAATTGCCAGGTCAATAATTCAGCTCCTTTGCAAAATCCCCCCTTTCCCTTTTCAAGTCCTTTGCTTCCTCTGCTTTCTTCCCTTTCACCATCAGTACCCTTGCCCCAGCTGCTTTCCATCTTACGGGAATTAGTTGTTTGCTTTTTCTAGAACCTCTATGCTGTCCCTTTTCACACACTAATCTTCCTTTCTTCAATGAAAAAGATTGGGGGTTGTAAGAGAAAAATATGCTAGTGTTATTTTTGCCTTCTTGACCCAATCTTTGTATATGTTTTCCTCACTGGTCATTCCTGCAGTAACTTCTTAAGGGTTTTCTTCTTTTTCTATTTTACTCCATTGCAAAACAAGCATTTTCAAAATTAACACTATGTAGGTTTCAGAAAAATTATAATCAATTGTAATCTAACGCCTATCCCCAGGATTTACAGCAAACTATTAACACATTTATTACTTTTGCCCTTTTTCTAAGCACATAAAAAACTGGTATCATTTTGCAAATGCATTTTCAGGCCCTGCTCTTTTCCTTATGGAATGGTCACTTTCTCAACACATTAGAAATACATTAAGGTGGTGCAAGGAGTTAATTCTCAGCACTATCAGCTGTCACTGCAGCATGAATTTGATCCCATGCCAGGGAGCTACAACAGAACTCTCCTGTATTGCCCTCTGCTCCCCTCAGCAGTGTATTTCAGTCATTCTGTCTTTTTTGCTCCCCATTCTGTCTCTGGTGAATCTTCTCATCCCTGCCCCTGCACTTCTGGCCTGTACCCTAGTTCTTGCATGCATAAATAAATACAATTACTTTTCTGATAAAAGAAAGAAGTTGAAATTATTATTTCTTACATTCACTAGACAATTATTTATGGAGCACTTATCAAATATCTAGTCATTGGTCCATACATATCAGTTTTACAGTGATCACAATGTAACATTTCTCTTATTACTGAATATTTTTAATAATGTTACCACAAAGACTGGTACTGTGATCTATATATCAATAAAGTGATGTTTGGAAAATTAACTTTTTATAACAGGTAAAATTATAACTTTGTAAATCAGTGGGGAAAGAATGGAAATTCCTTAAACAATGATAAAATGATATTCTTAGTATATTTTAGGTGACATTTTACATTAAATGTATTTCCATATTTGATTAAAAGTTGATTCATGAAAATAAAATTGAATAAAAAGTAAATGAATCAATCAAAAACCCAGTAAACAATGTGAATTCTGCTTATGGTATCTGAATCAGGTGGTAGATTTGATATTAATGGAACAATTAAGCTTAAAAATATTCCTGGGTCATTCTCACAGTTTCTTTGGATTATTGATTGTTTAAAAATGTGTGAAGTGATATTGTGGTTTTGATCTTAATTTCTTTGATGATATGTGATGATGAATACTTTTTCATGTCTGTTGGACATCTGCCTTTCTTCTTTGGATTAGTGCCTATTTAGCACTTATGTACTTTTTTTTTTTTTGATTGGGTAATTTGTTTTGTTTTGTTTCTTTTAAGAATATTTTATAGTTTTCTCATATTGGTCTTTTACCTCCTTTGCTAAGTTTATTCCCATTTTTTTTTTGGTGAGTTTGTAAATGGGATATCTTTTTAAATTTCTTCTTCTTGTAGGTTCTTGTTTGAATATAAAAAGGCAACTGATTTTTGTGCATTGATTTTGTATACTACCACTTTGCTGAAAACAGCAACACAAAAGCAAGTGCTGATGAAAATATAGGGGAAAAAAAAAACTATTACACTATTGGTGGAAGTGAAGACTGACCGAGTCCCTATGGATAGTTGTGTAGAGATTCTCAAAACACTAAAAATGAATCTACTGAATAACCCAGCAATTTCACTCCTAGGAATTTACCCAAAGAACAAAGAAACATTAATTTGAATGGAAACCTGCAGTTACATGTTTGTTGTAACACAATCTACAATATCCAAGATATGGAAACAACATAAATGCCCCAAAACAGATCACTTGGATCAAGATGATCTGGCATACATATATACACAATGGAGTACTACTCAACAATCAAAATAGATAAAATTCATGCCATCTGTGTGCAACATGAATAGAGCTAGAAGGGATTATATTAAGTAAAATATGTTGAAGGAGAAAGATTATAAAAAAACAGATGGTTTCATTTTCAGTTGAATATTGAGAAACTAAACAAAATGTCAGACAAAGACAAACCTTGAAAGCTAACCATAGATCTGAGGCTACTAGAGAACAAGGGCAGGGAGATGGAGGGATCGGGGGTTGAAAACAGGAGGAAGAAGAGCAATATTGTACTAAGTCTACCAGAAGGGGGATGAGATTGAGTGAGGTAAAAAGGGTTGGGGGTGTCTGAAAGAGTGTTTCTGGAGTTACTGGGACTTAAGTTGTGGGCATGATGAAATAACATACAATTGTAAAGGTGTAAACATATATCCCTGGGACATATGCTATGACATAAATCAAGATAATGTTCCTAAATATGTTAAAAGAACTTTAATTCCAGTTACTTATCTTTTAAAAAAATATTGGTTTATGCATATGTATATAGATTGGGGTACAGGCCAGAGGCAGGGGTGGTGAGAAGAGTCACCAGATATAGTGGGAAGCAGAACAGGCAGGTCAATGAAATACGGTGCTGAGGGGAGCAGCGCGTGAGACAGGAAAGGTCTGCTGCGCCATGTGGATCACCTCTGGGGCAGGGGATTGAATTAGCACTGAAGTGGCTAGCTTTCAGTGTTGCACCCTAACCTGTTGCACCATCAGGGAGAGCCATGATATACATCTTAATGAGAATTCTTCCTTGAATTTAATTTAATACTACCAGGATAAATAAAAAAATCAAAGTGCTAAAAAATTAAAAACTCCATTTTAGATTAAGATGTAAGTATTAAAATTTTTGAAGTGTGATGTAAAAATATACTTATGCTAGACAAGAATAGCCTTAGTTGACAACCATTGTGTATGAAGCATTACTCAGCAATCAAAAATAATAAATTAATGCCATTTAAAGCAACATGTGGAGCTGAAAGTGGTTATGCTCAGTGAAATAAGCCAGAACCATAAAGAAAAATATCGAATAGTCTTGCTTATAGGAGAAATGTAAACAAAACAAAAAAAAAGTAATCAGAAAACTGTAATAAAATAAAAATCTACATCATCAGGCAACTATAGATCAGAGACATTTTGTAGGGGAGGACGAGGACATAAGGACCAGAACAGGGGTGGAAAAAGTACAAGATACTATGGTGATGGTACATGGGTGAATTAGTGATGAAAATTTCACAGAGAAATCATACATTGTACAAAAATGAAAGATGATATAATGCATATTTAAAAATTAAAATGAAATATTAACTTCCACTTAAAAAAAGAAAATCATTGTGCAATCATTACTATTTTTCCCATTCTTGAATGAATAGTTCTTAATATTCAATTAAGAGGGCTAGTTGGGCTAGTTACTTGATCAGATACTAAAGAGTTAAGTTTAATTTACTTAACTTTTGTTATCTGCCAACTTTTATAATATTTGAGTTTGCGACTAATCCAGTTATGGAGTAGGAAAGCATAGAACCTAACTTACATCACCAACATTACTTACTATTTAGAGATGGTCAGTTATTATGAAAGTCAAGTTGAATTTCTTTGGAGTACTGATTTTTATTAAAAATGGAAATCAGGACCCCCTATGTTGGTGCAGTGGATTGAAGCATGCAAAGTTGGCATGGCCCACTTCAGTGCAATTTTTATCCCCACCCCAGAAGTGATCCACATGTTCCTGCTGCTCCCCTCAGCAGTGTACTTCGTCAGTTGGCCTGTTCTGCTCCCCACTCTGTCTCTGGTAAATCCTGTCACAGCCCCTGCACCTCTGGACTGTACGCCAGTTTTGTATGCATAAATAAATAAATCTTTTTTTTTTTTTTTGACAAAGGGTGAATGTTTTTTTTTTGTTATTGTTGTTAAGATTTATTTATTTGTGCATACAGAACTGGGGTACAGGCTAGAGGCTCAGGGGTGGTGAGAGGCTTCACCAGAGACAGAGTGGGGAACAGAACAGGCAGATGGACGAAGTACACTGCTGAGGGGAGCAGTGGGCGGGCCAGGAGAGGTCTGCCGCGCCATGTGATCACCTCCGGGGCAGGCGGGAATCGAACTCATGAGGAAGCAGCTTTAGATTCTCAGTGCTGTGCTTTAACCCGCTGCACCACCAGGGAGGGCCCTAAATAAATAAATCTTAAAAAAAATGGAAATCAACTCAAATAACATATCTTTATTTGTTAACATAAACACAAAATTTATGTCCCAGAATAATTTACACATATATACCTACTAGTCAGAGAATGTGGCACAATGATATTTTGCACAAATTCCTGATTATAAGCAGGTGATCTTTACCATTGGCCTTCAGTAAACTGAGAGGATATCAAGATTAAGATGTTCTTTGTACCTTACCATCATCTGGAAACTAACTATGAAAGCAGCATAGAGAAAATATCAGAGCCAAACTAAAGAGAAAAAAAAAATGAAGACTATTCTCCTAGAGTAACATTCTGTACCTGTAGGTGGTCATAGACACTGACTTCCCAATATTCATTCCACTTTAAAATGCTGCTCTATACTATCCCCAGCAATGTCATTTCCCTTGCAAATGACCAATTTAACAATGGTCTAATCCTGACCAATTAGACACAATATGTTTCCTGTGGGTTTTCAGAAAAAAAAAAGTGCTATTAAGAAAGAAAAATAAGAAAACATGT